TCAAGCCTCAGAGGTATCCTACTGATTCCATTAACCTATCTGCACACCAGAGCAAATTTTAACACTATTAAAGGAAAACAATAAAATGCAGTAACCAACAAAATGTCAGCATTCAGTTAAAAATTACCAGGTTAAAAAAACACACATACAGAAATATAAAACCCATAATGAAGAGAAAATAGTCATTATAAATGGACTCAAAATAAGATAGAAATGATGGGACTAGGGTAGAGAAAAATATTAATATTCTGATTTGAAAAATGAAAATTTAAAAATATATATAATCAAATTCAACATCTAGAAATGGGTTGGCTCTAGAAAGTCTGGCAAAATTTTCCTTGTAAGGAAAGATAGTAAGTATCTCAAGGTTAAGGGTCATATGACCTCCATTGCAACTATTCAACTCTCCTTGTAGCACAAAAGCAACTATAGACAATATCTAAATGAATAATTCAATAAATGGTGTCTTACAAATGGTGTGTCTGAATCTTGAACAATAGTACCCTGAATCTTCTTTTTTTTAATTGATTTTTTACAGAGAGAAAGAGAGAGAGATAGAGAGCTAGAAACGTCGATGAGAGAGAAACATCGACCAGCTGCCTCTTGCACACCCCCCACCAGTGATGTGCCCGCAACCAATGTACATGCCCTTGACCGGAATCAAACCTGGGACTTTTCAGTCTACAGACCGATGCTCTACTACTGAGCCAAAGCAGTTTCGGCAGTACCCTGAATCTTGATCTAGAGGTTAATATGTCAGAAATAAAAAGTGTTCTAAATAGAGTTAAGTTCCAATGAAATCCTGTATAAAATCAGTGGAAGTAGCATAATAACTATTCGCAATGAAACATAATGATTAAAAAAAAGCATTTATAGATTGGATCAGGTACATTTGGGACCACATCAAGCAATCTAACATATATGATTTAGAGTCCCAGAATTAAAAAAAAAAAAAAGGAGGGGGACAGAATTAATATTTGAAGAAATAATGGTTGATATTTCCTCTAGAATTTGTTGAAAACAAATTCACAGATTCAGAAAGCTCAACAAATTCCAAGCAGGTGAAAAAACTGAGGCTTGGCTTGGAGTTGTTATTTCCGGAGGCATTTTCATAACAAGCCATGATTCAAATCTGTTTGATGATTTGGAACCAAAGTTTTTACTTATTTGTTATATTTCCTTTCAAGCTTGATGGTATTAGTCTAGTCTTCACTACAAGAGGGAAAATCATGTTTATTGAGAAACCAGCTATATATTAGGTGCTGTGCTAGATGTTATAGCATATATTATCTTATTCAATTATAATATCTCTATTAGATAAGAATAATTTTCCCCATTTTAGAGATGGTAAAGTTTAAAGTCACAGAGTTAACACAGAATGCTTAGAAAAAACACCAGTAATGGTAGAAAAAGAGAGGTAGCATAAACCTCAGGTCTTCTGGGTTTACAGACTGTCTTCTCCTATAAAACTTGGCTATGTGGATAGAGTACTTGAAAAAGAAATAAGGCATGCATTATTTAAGTAGAAATTATGTAGTTTAGAAGCATTTGAAATAGAAACCTACTGATAAAGGAGGAAATGAGGCCTTTGATTTTAGCATTAGTTCAAGCAATCACTGGCAAAACACAAATTACAGACAATAAATTTCAGAGCTAGTACACTCCCAGTATGGCTATAATACTTAGAACCATAAAACCATAGAGTTGTGAAATTATTTACAGATTGCAGAATTCTGTCTATTCCTTTTGGAGCAATGGAAATGCAACCCAGTAGATTGTATCATTTACCTAAAATAGCATCATTGGTTATTGACCCTCTCTTCTAAGCAGTCCCCAATTTCATTCCAGAAAATATAAATTATTCATGCAGAAAGACAAACCCAATTTTGGCAGGTCAGAGATTTCAATGAGATGTGAATTGGTTCAGGATTGTGATGTATGAATTGAGGCAGCTTTCCAGATTGCCTTATCTCAACTGTCCTTCTGTGAAACATAGTATTTTGACTATCTAAATTGACCTCTATTCCATCCCATTCAACAGTTATTGGCTATTTTATTAAGAAGAATGTAAAGTAACAAAATGCAAAATTCTGAAAATCAAAGGATGTTAAAAAGGATACTTATAGAGAGGTCATTTTGCCACATGTAAAATAATCTAAAATAGTTTGTGACTGTACTCTAAAAGATAAAATGTAAATACTTTAAGCAAATTATCAAAAACATAAATGTCAACCATATGCATACAAAGTACATACATAGATTCAAGCACACATGCTGTTCTGAAAGCCCCATAAAGACAGGGGCTACATTATTCTCACACATTCCCAATACCTTGGATAGCAGCTGGGCGGCTGGTGGCTCTAGGTGCTCAATATTTATTGGGTGAATGAAAAAAATGAGTATAAGTCTCTACTGAAGTCATCCTACCCCTCTGTCACCATGGTACATTGATCTTTTGAGGAAGAAAACTTATCCTTTTGTTTCATTAGACTTTGGATGGCAAGGAGCCACATCTGAGTCATATCCAGATTTGAACGTGATACAAATCACAAAATCCTGAACTTCAACCCAGGGATGAGAGCAAAGACATTGTGGGAGTGATATGAATATATGTGATCAGAAGGCACACTGTGATGAAATATAAAATTAGCTACAATCCCTAAAGCAATGCGACTATATAACAGGCAGAAGCTATTTCTTAAATCTGAGTTGGTGCTAACTTGCTCTGCCTAATGTAATAGCAGACAAGAAGCAAGCAGAGGATGAAATAATGCATGCGCATTAGAGACTGCCCTCTTTTTCTGCTTTTAGGCCCCGCAACTGTTCACATGTAAAGGAGCCCAGGTTATTATCCTAATTAACAGCTTTACCAATTGCCATACCTGTGAAGCCAGCTTCACTATTAATTGCTATCTTCCATAGTGCGATTACTTTACATCTGGAAGATAAAATGGGGCATGTGTCATTTTATTTCGCAGCACTTTTTCCCTCAGGAACAAGTTGTCCACAAGGGTCTCCGGTTCTGTCCTACTCCTCTCATGCCTAAATCTTACAGAGTCAGGGGGGCATTCCTTGAAGCAAAGGAAGCCATGATATGGCACTGACCAGGCGTGCATGGCATCTAAGAATAACACTTTCCCAAAGAGACGAGACATGTCTCTCCTCCAACCTAATCTTTATGATAATAGGAGTGTAGTCAGGTGATTATCTGCCATATTCCTTTGTCTTACAACTCAGTTGGATGATCCTATATAATAAAAGGCTAATATGCAAATTGACCAAACGGCGGAACTACCCGTTGCTATGATGTGCACTGACCACCAGGGGGCAGACGCCAATGCAGGAGCTGCCCCATAGTGGTCAGTGCACTCCCACAGGGGGAGCATTGCTCAGCCAGAAGAGAGGCTCACAGCTGGCGAGTGCAGTGGCAGTGGCGGGAGCCTCTCCTGCCTCTGCTGCAGGCAGATGGTAAGGAGCAAGGGGTCCTGACTGCGAGAACCCGGGACTGCAAGAGGGATGTCTGACTGTCGGTTTAGACCCTATCCCCGAGGGATGCTGGACTATGAGATGGTGCACTGAAACCCAGTGCACTAATCTTGTGCATCGGGACTCTAGTACTGGTATCATTTATCGGGTCCTTCACAGTTACCAACAATGAAAATGATACTGCATTTTTCTCTTCTACACATGCAATTATGGTTCAAGTTTATATTGTTTATCTCTGGAAGAACACAGGAAGACTGATGGTGTTTTTTTTTTTTTTACATGTCTGACATTGCTATATATTTGTCTAAACAAAAAAATTCATTACTGTACAATGGTAGAAGTCAAACAGAATTCCTCCCATGCAAATGTTTGTTGTGACTTTTAGGAACCCCTTTGATGAAATCGACACATAGCAAACCTATAATTTTGTTTCTGAGAAGAGGACAAATACCCAAACTCTCTTATCCAACAGCTCTGAAAGATCATTAAGTTTTTCTTTTTTATTTTTTCCTTTCCAAGACAACAAGGCCAATGTCCCTTGCCCATTGGTGACAGTTACATATGTTATGCAGTCATTTTTCCACTAGGTGAAGAGAGCAATGACGTTTTCTGTAATCACAACTTCACAGATCACAAACAAAACAAAGATGAGAGAGGCAGGAGAGGAAAACAGATTTTCCCACCATTGGCTATATGACAGTCTGGGTAGATGGAAGATATTAAGCAGACATATCAATCCGAAGGCAATTACTTGTCTATCTTGGTCCCTGCAGACCATCAGCACCCATAACAATGTCTAGAAAATTATGTATATCTGCTGAAAGACAAAAGAAGGGGGATTATTTACATGATTTGTGCTAGATCCTGGTCTCATCCTGGTTAGCAGTACCCTATCCTTTTCCCCAGAACAGAGCTCTAACTTTAGATTTTGCCATAAATATGGTAAGCATTCAGCCAAAAGGAAAATATAGCAATACATCAGTAATAGTTAATAAAGTAATAACTATCATAGCTTCTCAGAAATCAGGTCTATTCCATGGAAGAAAACAAAAAGGAATCAAGAATATTTCTTTGTACTTGTTTAGACACATGTAAATGGAAGCCAAATAATGATAATAATAGGTCATGATATATTTTTTAGAAAACTATAAGCCACAGTTCACTGATTTACACATGGGCAACTTCTCACTACAATTGAGAAGTATTAAATGCTTGGGGCCTTTATCAGTCTGGCTTCCTGCTTTGCTGGCACTCCAGTCAGCTGGCTGTGCTGACAGTGTAAATCAAGGCATTATTAGCTTGACCACGTGCCCTAGGCTTTTGTTTCTTTGTTTCAGAACAGATAGGAAATTTGCCTGGGGGCGGGGGGGTGGGGGGGGGGGGGGAAGAGAAAGAAATGCACAGTGGTAAGTGATTTCTGCTGTAAAAGTTGTGACACATTAGTTTGATTCTGGCAGAAGCAAACCGGCAATGTGGGTCAAGAATTAACCTAGAAGGAAAACATCTTCTGAGACATGTCTCTAAATTACATCAAAAACTTCTATGAAGGTTGTGTAAGTATTATATAATTTTTTTAAATGTATGAGTCCAGTCTGTGTGTTTTAACATGATTCTTGTAAGCATTGATGAATAATAAGTTCCTCTATATATGGAGAGTAATATAAAGGTTAACCATATATTTCAAAATATTCTGAATTTAAAACTATAATTAGGATATTTGAGGAAGTACTTTTAGCTGTTGGTGTTTTAAAGTAGCCCACTCTCTTGCAATTCAATAAAGTAGTAGGAAATATTCTGTAATGAGAACTACATAAACATTATTTGGTTGTTAAGATAGTGGATGAGTTTATTATTGAACTTATTATTTACTTTTCCAAAAGAGGTCCTAAATATTCTAACATTTTCTTGATTTTATTGCAAAAGAATTAGGAATATTAGGAATATAAATTGAATTTTAAGCTTTTTAAGTATTTCCAAAATTATATATTTGATTAGTAATGTCACTGTTGCCTTTCATATTTTCAGTGTGAAAAGAGGTGAAATCTCATAATACAGGATTTGCATTGGGCTTGATAATCTTTAAGGTTCTTTTTTGCCTCAAAACTTTATGAATCTTAAATTTTAAAAAATGTGACAATGAAAAAAACTTTAAAATATCCTCCTCTAATGTTTGTTTTCAAAAGATTTTTTTTCTGCCAAAATCGGTTTGGCTCAGTGGATAGAGCATCGGCCTGCGGTCCGAAAGGTCCTGGGTTCGATTCTGGTCAAGGGCATGTACCTTGGTTGTGGGCACATCCCCAGTAGGGGGTGTGCAAGAGGCAGCTGATCAATGATTCTCTCTCATCAATGTTTCTAACTCTCTATCCCTCTCTCTTCCTCTCTGTAAAAATTCAATAAAAAATATATATATAATATATATTTTTTAAAAACATTTTTTTTTCTCCTAAAATTATAATAGGTAAAGCCTCCCACTGTGATTGGTCAATTCCACACCCTTTTCTTTGGATCCATCCGGATGTTCTTTCTTGGGGTGTTAGGCTTTTCAGTCTACGGGAATGAGGCTTTGCACTTCAGCTGTGATCCTGACAGGAGAGAAATAAACCTCTTCTGTTACAATCAGTTCAGGCCAATCACTCCACAAGTAAGTTTTTCTGTGTGCCCTTAAGTCTTACTCTATACCAGATAAAATTGTTGTCTTTTTAATGAAAATTAATGCCATAATGAAATTAAAAATACCTTAATAGGTGTAATTTACTAGAATTATTACTATTTTTAACCAGTTGTTTATTTCAGGTAAATTAGTTTGAGTTGATTGACAGTTTCTTCCAACATTTTATTATCTACCGATGTTAAAATTATACTCCAGACCTATAATTTGAAAATGAAAATTACATAGCTACTAAAATAAAATATTTCAACTTTATTAGGTAATTGGTAGGTGATGATAGTATAATATGACTACATTTTCACAAATTAACTTATTAATTAAGAGACATGTTCTTCATTACTACCTTCATTATATTATTTTTATTGTTTATAAGACTTATGAAACTTGGAATTCTTAAGTTAGTCACTTTTGATAATCAATGAATTTTTAAAGTATATTTTGTTTATCTGTTGATTGATTTGAAAAGATATTTCTGACATACTTTAGGTGTTTTGGGCATTACAACTAGTGATTGTCCTGGTCCCTGGTGCTACTTTCCATCTTTATTCTGCATTTAAAGACATCAGTCAAGAATGCATTCTTCAAAAGCCCATCTACACTGTGGTTTATATCGTCTCTGTTTTAGTAAGAATCAGTCTCGAGGTGACTTCATTTTGGCTTCAGATTCACCTTTTTGGTTTCCAAGTCACACCTCTCTACCTGTGTGATGCTGGATCTCTGGGCGGAAAGTTTACTATTATAAAATGCATGGTGCCAGATCACTTTGAGAAGACCATCTTCCTCATTGCAATGTACACATTTACTGGAATTACCATGGCATTATGTGTTGCTGAGGTTTTTGAGATCATATTTAGAAGACTATGCTTTCTAAGTAAGCAACCCAGAGGTTGATTAATTACTATCATACCACAGTTATTTATCAATCATTGTAATTATTTTTACTTTATTCAGTGAGTACCTCAATATCAAACATAAATATTTATTCTTTCAATATATCTCAGTGTGTCCAAAATTTATGTTTAATATATATAATGTTAACTTCTAAGGTAGAAATTCCTGAACAAATATTTCAGTATATTTTAATTTTGTCAAGCATTAGAAAATATACATAGAACTAATGTTAACTTGTTTACCCTGTACTTTTACATAATGGAATACTATGCAGCTGTAAACAAGATGGATCTCTTACCCTTTAGGACTGCATGGAGGGATCTGGAGAGTATTATACTAAGCAAAATAAGACAGTCAGAGAAAGACAAATATCACATGATCTCACTCTTATGTGGAATCTAATGATTAAAATAAACTGATGAATAAAATAGATCCAGAGACATAGAAGTATGGAACAGTCTGTCAAATCTCAGATGGAAGATGGGGCGGGGCATGAGGGGTGGAGAGAGATCAACCAGGAAACTTATAAGTATACTAGAGGCCTGGTGCATGAATTTGTGCACCAGTGGGGTCCCTCAGCCTGGCTTGCAGGATCAGCCCAAACCTGCTCTCCAACATCCCCTAAGGGGTCCCAAATTACAAAAGTATGCAGGCGAGGCCGAGGGACCCCACCAATACATAATCAGGACTGGGAGAAACATGGGAGGCTGGCCAGCCAGGGAGGGTCTGTGGGAGGGCTCCAGGGCATGTCCAGCCCATCTATCTCAGTCTCGATTGGCTGGACCCCATTAGCAAGCTCACCTACCAGTTGGAGCGTCTCCCCCCTGGTGGTCAGTGCACATTATAGTGATAGGTCAATGGTCAATTTTCTTCCCCCTGGTGGTCAGTGCATGTCATAGGGAAAGTTTGAGCAGCCTTATCATATCATTAGCATATTATGCTTTGATTGGTTGAATGGCCAACCAGAAGGCCAGACACTTAGCATATTAGGCTTTTGTTATATAGGATATGCATAGCCCATGGACACGGACAATAGTGCAGTGAAGACCTGGGGAGGGGGCGTAGAGTGGAGGGGGTCAATGAGGAACAAAGGGGAGACATTTGTAATACTTTCAACAATAAAGATACATTTAACAAATAGTACTTTTATAGAGTTCTCTGACTTACAATATCTTCATAGATCACAATATTTTGTGGATAGAGAAACTTTTATTATCCCTTTTACACAGAGTGAAAAATTTTGGCTCAAGGAGGTTAATATATGGGCCCAAATTCACACAATCATACTGGAATCCAAATTTACTAACTCTGAAACTATCTCCCTTTTCACTGAGCTATGCAGTTTTAACTTAAGGATATAATTATATTTGCAGTCATGTTAAGTATAACTTATTTAAGCACAAAAGTTATAAGTTAATTATTAAAAGAGTCATTCTATATTTGATCACTAACTTGAAGAAATGTGACAATTACATTTTTACTATTATACTCTACTGTTTTCTTGAATTTTTAAACATTAAATGATATGGTAATAGAGCCTCCAAATAAATAAAAATGATATGAAAAATATTGTGCAAGGCTTTCTTGTTTCTTGTTGAAATAAATTAAAACCTCTGTGCTCATAGATATAACTATCACTTCTATATTCAAGATTATTGAAATGGAAAATTATATTTATATTACATTAGACTTTCTAAATAGCCATGAAATTATTTCAAAGACAATTTTATATCAATTCAGTGCATTTCTTTCCATCTGTCTGCCTTACCAATAATCATCTTCATTTGGTGTAATTTAAAATCTTTATGTATGACTGCCTTCTACTGGTGCCTTATTAGAGAAATAAGTAGAGTGAGTCAATTACTGAGGTTTTCAATCTTTCCCTCAGTATTATTCAGTCTATGTTTGATGTCATGAATTTCTACATTTAGGAATTTTAAATTCTTGAGTCTCTCTCCATATGAGTACACAGGAGAAAAATCTTGCTTACCAACATTTAACAAATAGCTGCTGAGTATCATTTACCATTTACTGCACTGAGAGTTCATATACAACGATAACTAAGATTTAGTACCTTTATGAGATCATATTCTAGTGGGAGGTTCAGAGGCATAACTAGAGGGATGGCTGATAGAAATAGCCCACTTAGAGGGAAGGAATATTTATTTACTGTCTTTGTCTAGATCCCTAGCCCCTAGTCCTAATAAATAGTAATAATGTTTAGTTTATTTCCTTCTTATTTTTAAATTCATTAAAGATAATGCACATTTTATTGCCTGCCCCAGGGTAGTCTGCTTCTCCCAATCCTTGCACACACACAAATGTCTTCATATTGAGTAATACTTTCCTGTACCTTTGGAAGGCTAGTAAGTTTTGATTGGATGCCAGAATGGGCGTTTGACTTTGTTGAATGCTGTAGATATTTCTGTCTTCCATAAGTATACATAAACTTTATTCTGAGGCATAGTTAAGTTGCTTGCAAACAGTTTATCCTTTGTGATTTTTTAAAGCTTTAGTAGGTGGGACCAGTGTAGCCCTCATGGAGGGCTAATGTTGCCCCATTACTGAAAATAAAGCCTTTCTGAGAGCTCTATCAGGTTCTCCTTTGTTGCTTCACAAATATTATCCTTCCACCATTCTCACAATCTTCAATTCCATCCTCACACTCATAGTCTTGTTACACTTGGGTTGCTACAGCAAAATACCCAGTAGATGGCTTATTGTCCAAATAAATTTATGTCTCATCATTCTGGAGGTTGAATCTCTGAAGTCAGGGTGGCAGCATGGTCAGGTTCTGGCGAGAGCTCTCTTCTGGTTACACATTTGCCACTGGAGCTTCACCGGGTGGGAAGAAGATAAGAGAGCTCTCCAGGTCCCCTTTATAAGGACACAGATCCCACTCATAAAGGCTTCACCTTCATGCCTAGTCTCCTCCCAAAGGTCTCACTTCCCAACACCATCACATTGCAGGTTAGGATTTCAAATCAGAAATTAACCAGGAGAAAAATAAAAATAATAGCACTAAATAGAACACTGCAAGCAATAGAAAAAAAGCTAACAAAAAGCTGGTTCTTTGAAAAGATCAATAAGATGGCAAAACTCACTAGACTGATTGAGCTAATAAAGGAAAAAGTGAAAATTAGACATTTCATAAATGAAAAAAGGCCCATTAAGATAATTGCAAAAGACTACCGTATGAACAATGTCTTGTCAATAAGTTTGATATTTAAATAAAAAGGAGCAATTCCTTAAAAGGCACAAATCGCTAAAAAACTTTATTCTGCAATAACTAGGAAATATGTATATTCTTGAAATATTAAAGAAGTTAAATATAAAAAATTATAAGCCTTTCCACAAAGAAAATGCCAGGCCCACATAGCTTCAGTAGAGAATTCCATCAAATGTGTAAGGAAGAAATAACACTACACAATCTCTTAGGAATTAGAAGGGAATATTGGCCATTTCATTTAATGAATAATAATTTAACACTGATTTTAAAAATTCTTAGCAAAAATATATTAGCAATTGTAATACAGCTATAAAATACTATAAAATACTATATATATATGTGTATATATGTATATATATACACATATATATAGTATGTGTGTATGTGTGTATATATGTGTGTGTGTGTGTGTGTATGTGTGTGTGTGTGTGTGTGTGTGTGTGTATAAAATGATACTACATCATGGAGGTCAAATGGAGATTATCCCAGACATAAAAGGTTTTTTTAACATTTGAAAACCAATTAATGTAATTTAAGTGGTTTAAGGGAGTAAAGAAGAAAACCCACAGACATCTTAATATAAACAGATAAAAGCATTTGATTAACTTAATATAAACAGATAAAAGCATTTGATTAACTTAATACTTAATATTTGATTAATTTATTATGAAACAAACTAAAAACAAAGATATCACTATAAAAAGTAACCACATAGCCTAGCCAACGTGGCTCAGTGGTTGAATGTTGGCCTATGAATCAGACCACAGTTTGATTCCTGGTCAGGGCTCAATCCCCAGTGTGGGTGTGCAGGAGGCAGCCAGCTGATCAATGATTTTCTCTCATCATTAATGTTTCTCTCTTTCTCTGCCTTTCCCTTCCTCTATGAAATCAATTTTTAAAAAAAATTTTTTTAAAGGTGACCATGTAAATTAAATAAAAAATATCTGAAAAATGCTATATGCAACATCTCAGTTAATAGTGAAAGAATGAACAATTTATCCTATAATTGTGGTAAAAGGCAAGAATGTAAACTTTTACCACTTCTGGGTAACATTAAACTAAATGTCAAGACAAAATAAAAACAAAATAAATATATATTTTGAATTTATACTTACTAGTAAATGTAACAAAAATACAAGATATACATATTGGAAAATAATATTTTTATGGAATGAACATATACATAGTAAATTTTAGAGGTGTACAAAAAGCTATTAGAATAAATAATTAAATTTATAAAGGTTAATATTTCTGTAGAGTAATAAAAAATGAAATTTAAAAAATTTTAATGCCATTTGAAATATTCAAAAATATGAAACACATAGGGATAAATTTCACAATAAATGCTTCAGATTTGTACAATGAAAATTACAAAACAATGCTGAAAGAAATTAAAGATTCTTTAAAAAAGTAGAACAATAAACCATGGTCATGATTCGAAAGACTTAACCTTTTATCGTGCCAGTCATTCCAAATTGATCCTTAGTCCCCATACAATTCAAGTCAAAATTTCAGCCAGCTTGGTAGAAATTAACAATATGCTTTGAAAATTTATATGAAAATACAAAAGACTTGGAATAGCCAACACAATGTTGAAAAAGCAAAATAAAAGTAGATGACTCACACTACATACTTTTAAGACTTACTGTAAGGTACATTAAGCCAAACAGTGTGGGGTTGGTATGGGATAAGTATATTGATTACAGTAAAACTAAAGGTTAGAATTAGTTCTACAAATATATAATTGTGTGTTTTTGTTTTAAATTCACTAACATAATTCAATTATGCTGAAAAAAACAAGATATGCATGTTGAAAAAATAAACTGTAATTTTTACCTCCAGTCCAGACCCAGCCATGGATGTGTAATAGGCCTGGCCAAGTCATCAGGGTTTTCTCTTTTAGTTTTCTGCGGAACTTTTAAGGAAAAAAATTATAACTAATAGAATGTGAGTCTCATAGTACTGGAACCCAAATTTCTACCATATACAATGTTCCGCAAAGATATATCAATGGATATACTATTGATAGTATATTTCCCTGATTACAATAAGTCCTGTCATTTTTCACCAAAAGAGTTGTGATCACAATTGGAACATAAAGTTTTGCTGTGATATGATCACACATACACTGGTGTCTGGGGAGTAGTACAAAACATTTACTTTTTTCTATCAAAACACCTGTCAGTTCAAGTATCTCTCCCTTTTCTTCTTCCTATGGTTGCCATGAACCCCTATCTCTGCCCTCTCCTGACTGGCCAAGATTCTACCTCCATCCTGAAGGGTAATGTTAGATTTTTCAGAAAAGAAGAGTTGACGTTTTTCTTCATAGTAAAATATCATAGTGAATTCATTACTGTAAAATATCAAGAAAATCCAACCTAATGTTGTTCATATTTACTTTGACTCATAGCATAATTTCAATGTATTATTAGGCTAACATTTATCTATGTTACTTTCCCTACTCATATAAATTATCCTCTACTGATGTGCTTAGGAAAAAAAAAATCATGTGTTGGCAGATGGAGTAAAATCCAATTCTAACCATTTCAATTAATTGGACATTTTGCTTCTCTTCTCCTAGAATGTATGCAATTGCGAAAGGGAGTTTGAGCAACCTCCGTTCCTGAAGGGAGTGATTAGGAAAATACCACAAAGATGCAGCTTTCACTAGAAAGGAAAAGCAACACTTGGTTTTTTGGAAAAAATCTGAAGTGGAGAAAAACAAAACACAAGAATGTATTTTCGATCTAGAGAGCTATTCAAATCAAATAATAGTGGCTAGATTCACAGGCTCTGAAACCAAAGTACCTGGATTTTAATGTTGAACACTCATACTTACTGGCTGTGCCCTAGTACAAGTTACATACATTCAATGCCTTATTTTTCTCACCTGTAATACAATGAAAATGATAATACTACCTTCCTCATAAGGTTGTGATAAAAAATTAAGTGAGTTGATATAAAACTCTTAGAAACATGAAGATACACAGATCTTCAATAAATGCTTACTAGTTATTATTATTTTGTTGTGGCAGAGGTGAGGTGAAACAAATTCTATTTGGTGGCCTTAATCTCAATAGCAGTAAGTACACTCTTTGACCAAGGCAATCAGGGCAGAAGGTCTGGCTTAAAAAGAGTAGGAAAGGCTTGCAGAATCAGGTGTGTACTAATGATTCACTAGGGCATTTGTCCTCAACTCTAGATATCCCATTAAAATTTCTTGAAGATTTTTTCAAAATACTGATATTTAGGATCCAACCCAGAACAATTAAATCTGAATGCCAGGTGGTAGGACCTTGATATGAATCTTTAGGAAAACTTCTAAGCTGACCTTGGACAACCACAGTTGAGAATCAAGAAGTAATACAAAGAGAATAAGTGAGAAGTCATAAGACAGAGAAAGACTCTTATGGTTAACCCACTCTGCTTTGCTTCATTAATTTCTCTACCAATCCAGCAACTTTTGACTGGAAAGTCAGGATAGTGAGAGTAAGAGAAAGAAATCATAATGGCTTTGTTTGTTTGGGCTCCTATAACAAAAGACCACAGTCTTCATAGCTTATAAACAACAGAAATGCATCATCTCCCAAAGGTCCCACATCCTAATACCATCACACTGGGCATTAAGTTTCAACATATGAATTTGGTGGTGATGGGCACAAATATTCAGTTCATAGCAAATACATCCTCAAGTGCTGTTAAGCATGTTGCTGAGATTGGGAAAGAATAAAGAACTCAGTTTCTTTCTAGGTAAAAAACAAAACAAAAAAAACAGACCCTTAATTAAATGGTGGACTCTGCAAAGAAGAATAGATAAAGGATGTGAAGTGGGAGTAATATAAGGACATAAAGCAGCTTCTTCAGGGGTTGGAGTCAGTTTAGTGTTCATTAGAGAAGGGTAAACAGGACATTTTCAGAGCTTGAAATCTTGTTTCTTGGAAATGGTGTGATTTCAATGAAAAGAGTTTTCAGATGAACTCTCAAAAATATGGACTAAGATAAAATAAATAATGAAAGGTTATTCATGGAGGTAAATAAAGTGAAAGATGATAATATGGGACAGAGAGGAAAGAAAACAGAACTGAAGTCACTGATGGTGGAAGGGAAAGCTGATGCCTACACTGTTATGAGTCAGCAGCATTGAGCAAGAAGTATACCAGGACACCTTCTCTGTGCATTGACAAGTAATGAATATCCCAAGTACTTTGCAAATTGTTCATCATTTTCCAAAAATAAATGATTTACAGATTATTCATTCACTAAAGTATACACTATCCAGTTCAGAAGAGAAAACTGTTGGCTACTTTACCAATGTGTCAATATGGAAGAACCTAATTAAAAAATATAAACACATCATCTCTCATCTTAACCAAGAATTGAATGTACTGTTTCTAAGATTAAAAAAAAGTAATAATAAAATAAAAAAATTAAAAAAAAAAAAAGCTTCCATGGACACTATTAATACAATCTGAGGACTTGGAAGGGCAATTAACGCCTTTATCCTTTTTTTCCCAATCAACAGACATTATTTTGTGTTTTGTTTTGTTTTGTTTTTTTTCCCTTTCTATCCCTCCTTCTGCCATAAAAGGGATGATGGGGCCACCACCACCAAAAGTTAAAACATGACAAAAATTCTCCTCCTTCCTGCCAGGAGAGAGCGCTGGTGTCCCTCAGACGTCATCGAGAGCCAGGCGCACTGAGACTGTTCCTGCAGGAAAGCCGTAGTCGGCTTGCGGTTGCTTAGCAACGGGAGAGGGGGCGGGGCTTGCCGTGCGCGCTCTTGCGCGTGACCTCCCAGCGGAAGCGGAAGTGCCGGCGGCGCGCGAGTAGGAAGTAGTAAGTCTTGGCCTAGAGATGGCTGCGCTGGCCCCGCTGCCCCCGCTGCCCCCGCAGTTTAAGAGCATACAGCACCACCTGAGGACGGCGCAGGAGCATGACAAGCGGGACCCCGTGGTGGCCTATTACTGTGAGTCCTCCCGAGTCGCCGCGGCCTTCCTTCCCGCCCGGGGCCCACACTCCCCTCTCCGGTTCTGGGGGCAGGCCCCGCCTCCTGGCTTTGGACTTGAACTTCTAACCGGTGCCCCCTCCTCCATCCCTAAGGGTCCCGCCCTTGGCTCGGCCCCCTTGCAGGTCCTGGAAAGGCAACACTCCAAAAGCACCGTGGTGCCCTGTTTTAGGCTTAAATATTCCTAAGCTGACTACATGGCCTCATGAACACTGGAACAGACCGACCCAAGGTGTTCTTGTTTGTATTTTGTGTGTGTGTGTGTGTGTGTGTGTGTGTGTACACACACGAGCCTCTGATCTCCACCAGGGAAACCTGAAATATAACCTGGGTAGCCGAGTAATGAATTGGAGTATTGAAGGTGCTGTGAGTGTCCCAAAGACAGTAGTGATGTGGACAAAAGGAAAACAGACTAATTCTGTAAACATAGTAATAAGCGTAGGTTAGTGATGACAAATACAAACCAGCTCAAAAACTCACATGGTTAAATGGAGAGTATCTGCTACAAAACAGGCATTTTGATTTTACCATTCCCACTTCTGTGTCCAAACTGCTCTCTCCCACCAATGAGAATTTTTCATCTTAATAACTGCGATTTAGATGTTTGGTAGCAATATTCTCACTTTGGTTGATTGTCAGTACTTATAATCTACAGTCAATACAAAGGAAGCAAGGATTAAAATTGTTCAAACATTTTTTCCTTCGCAATGAAGAGAGTAATTCTAGTATTATGTCAATTTTATTTTATATCCCATACCCAACTGTATTGCAAATAAGTAACCTGGAATCTGTAAATCTTTTGAAAAGGATTTTTAGAGTTAAGCTCTACATACGGTGTCCTCTGTTGTGAAAGTTACTAAAGTTAGCTATAATCTGATCCTCTATCACCCTGCCGTATTCCAGGTGTACCCATTTTCATTTCTCACATGTGCAAAGCCCTTTTAGATCACTGTGTTCTTCACCTGGGAACATCTAAACTTTTTTTCTCCATTTAGAAAATTTCAAATGATTAAAAATCTAACCCAAATGTCACCTATTCTGTAGTTAGTAAATTGAGTTCTCTCTAGGCTTTGCCTCATTTTGTTCAAATCTTACAGTATTCTTACAGTATTGTTATTCAGTCCCTCAAGCAATGGCCATTAATCACTCATTCAGCGTATATTTATTGAGCTTGTGCCTATGTCAAGCATTACCAGGCACTGTGGCTGCAGTTCCCGCATTCATGGAGTTTACATGCAATGGGATGGAGAGATTAAATAATATGAAGAGTATAGTATGAGGACGTTTAGAAGGTTATGGAGAAAAATAAAGCAGGGGGAAGATAATGGGAGTACCAGGAGCAAGGTGTAGGGAGTGCAGAAGGAATTTCACTTTCATAGTGGTCTGTTAACTGCTTCAGTGAGTTCATATCTGAGCAAAGACTTGAATGAAAAACTGGCTTTGCTTCATCTGGCAAACAGTATTCTCTCTTCTCCATAGAGGGAATAACATGTACAAAAGTCCTGAGGGAGGGCTGTTGAAGGAGGATCAGGAAGCCATTGTAACTGGAGTGGTTAGAGTAAGGAGAAAAACGATGTGAAGTGGACAAAGAGGTAATCGCTTCCAACAATGAAATAGGAGCTATTGTTCATGTCTAAAACTAATCAGTATTCATGGGCTCTGTATTGTATGCCTTTGTGACTACCCAGAGACCTTCATTTCCTGTGTCATTATCTTCTCCCTCTCGCCATTTCTTTCTAAACTTACCCAGTTTCCTTCATTTAAAAAAATAAAAGAAATTCTTACTATGGCATTCCCCTAAAGTTGTTGTCCTGTGTGCCCATCCTTAAAGCTTAGCTTGAAATAACTGCCTGTAGTTGTTTTTACAACCTTATCCCATAGAATCTTTTCAGCCCATTGAAATCTGGTTTTCATGCCTATTATTTCACTGAAACTGCTCTCAGCAGGGTCATGAACAAACATTTTTATTGCTAAATCCAACTTAAAAATACTTTTTAGTGAAGCATATGCATATTGAACACATTTAGTGGGTGTATACAACTTAAGGAATAATAAACTGAACATTAATGTACCCACCATGTTTGATGTTATTAGACTTAAATTTTTGACAATCTGGTGGACATGAAATGGTGTGTCATTGGAGCAAAATTTGCAATTCATTGAGTCTTAATGATATTGAGCATCTTTTCATATGTTAATTAATCTTTTGTGATTTCCTATTGAAATATTTATTGCTTCTGACTATTCTATTTCACCATATGTCTAAATAATCTAGAAACATTTCCTTTGTTGTATGCATTGCAAATGTCTTCTCTGAGTTCATAGGTTGATTTTTCATTCTATAAGTCCTTTGATGTTTAAAAGTTCTTAATTTTAAAATATAGCCAATTTACCACCCTCTTCCCTCTGACTTGTATTCTGATTTTCTAGTTCTTGATTTCCTTTTGTGTACGTAGTACCTTGTTTGGGACTTTGGCATATTATTCTTTATCTATTCTCTCTATTTTTAAAAATATATATTTTATTGATTTTTCACAAAGAGGAAGAGAGAGGGACAGAGAGTTAGAAACATTGATGAGGGAGAATCATTGATCAGCTGCCTCTTGCACACTCTCTACTGGGGATGTGCCCACAACCATGATACATGCCCTTGACCGGAATCGAACCTGGGACTTTTCAGTCCACAGGCTGACACTCTATCCACTGAGCCAAACCGGTTTCGGCTATTTTCTCTATTTTTTAATTGAAATTTTGATTAGACATATGTTACACTTTCCTTCTTTATTTCCTTCTTAATGCTTTCAGAGTTTGCATTCTTTTGTCTCTCTGAGCTACAGTTGGTGTAATTTCTTAAGGTATGTGCTCATCTTCATATAGGTATCCTGTTGCATTACCCAGGTATTGTGTTTCTATTTTATTTTATTTTATTTTATTTTATTTTATTTTATTTTATTTTATTTTATTTCTAGATCTTTTATCGTTTCTTTTCAAATTGACCTACCCATTTCTGTTAATCTTTTGCTACTATATTTCTTAAACATTCTTATTTCGTTAAATGTTTTAAGTATATTTATTTTTATATTAGCTGTCTGATAATTCCTGTAGCTCCTGTATTTGTGGGTACATAACAACTTGTGCTCTAGGCATGCTAAAACAGTACTTTTCAAACTTCTATATGTAAATAATTCTACAGGAATCATTTTCCCAATTCTCAACTTCCCTGTTCCTTTCCTTATAAGACTCCTTTGGCTACAGTAGCAATGCTGTATGTTGCTTTCTCTTTTTTCAACATCCTGTTCACAAGTGCCATTCTTCTAGTTCAGTGTTTCCCACAGTGTGGTACACGTACCCCCAGGGGTACGGGAAGAGTTTGGTTGGGGGTACACGATGCACCAGAGTTTGGTGGGGATATGCACTGCACTGTGCTTAGCTGTGCTTAATTCTACGTTCTCATGAGTACGAGAGGTACTCAGCATTACAAAAATTATAGAAGGGGTACACATATGTCAAAAGTTTGGGAAACAATGAACTAGAAGAATCTAGTTTAAAGAAGAAAGACATACTATTATGAATCATGAATATTTTTAACCTCCAGGTTCCAGAACAAAAAAAAAATTTTGAAACCTCCGTTAATTAAGGTATTAGGTAGAGAGTTTCCTGTCTTTCCCTGTGTCATGTGGAAAAAAATCAGTCAGAGTAAAGAATAAGCGTTTATTCAAAATGCTGGCTTGAGAAGATGTAAAAGAGCATTCTAATTTGGGGAAAGAGAGTGCTATCCTATCTAATAAAAGAGTAATATGCAAATTTACCAAACCTCCACTACACCCACCAGCCACACCACTAGTCAATTGGGAGTGAGATTGCAAATTAACCCAACCAAGATGGCTGCGGCCAGAGAGAGAGCAGGAGGCTTGAGTTTCCCTGGCAATGGAGAAAGCCAAGCTTTCTGCCTGCCCTGGCTTGCCTTGGCCTCCGTTTAAGGCTACAAAGTTTCAATTATAGAAGATAAATAAATCCCAGATACCAGGGCCTCTGCTTAGGTTGCCGGGGGGTGTGGCCAGCCTGCAAACCACCACAGGCCCCTCACCCAAAGCTGCCCCATGTCCCAAAGGAACTTCCATCCTGATCCGGGACACCCTTCAGGGCAAACCAGCAGGCCTCCACCTGTGCACCAGACCTCTATCCTATCTAATCATTCTATCTAATAAAAGAATAATATGCAAACGACTGTCACTCCAACACACAAGATGGCTGCCCCCATGTGGTCAAAGATGACTGACCCCATGTGGTCAAAGATGACTGACCCCATGTGGACACAAGATGGCCAGCAAGGGAGGGCAGTTGGGGAAGATCAAACCTGTAGGGGAAGGTAGTTAGGGTGACCAGGCTGGCAGAGGAGGGAAGTTGGGGGTGACTGGACCTGCAGGGAAGGACAGTTGGGGGGGGGGGGGAACCAGGCTTGCAGGGGAAGGCAGTTAGGGGCAAACAGGCTGGCAGGGGAGCAATTAGGCATCAATCAGGCTGTCATGGAGTGTTAGGGGGTGATCAGACTAGCAGGCAGAAGTGGTTAGGGGCAATTAGGAAGGCAGGCAGGTGAGCAGTTGAGAGTCAGCAGTTCTGGATTATGAAAGGGATCCCAAATTGGAGAGGGTGCTGGCTGGGCTGAAGGACACACTCCTCCTCACCCCCGCTCCCTTGCATGAATTTCATGCACCGGGCATCTGGTGTTTTTTGTTTTTTTATAAAGGAAATGGGGAAGTCACCTGAAGTTTGTCAAGATGAATCTCAGAAGATGGGGGAATTGTTCTTAGAGATTAGCAGCTTTTATATAATCATTTTGGATTTTATCTAGAGGGGTGAGGAGGCACAGTTTGGGACCAAGGGTCTGTGCAACAGGCGTGGAGATAAAGACATAGAAGTACCACACTGGAAAGTTCTCTTATACACATATCTGTTCAGGC